ACTGCCTTGGATTTTTATTTAACAAACTTCGGTCAAGTTGAAAAAATAATTATTTTAGGAGCCATTTTTTCAATATGGCCGCCAACTTTGATAATTCTTTTGGAAGACTCTATATTTTATGATTGTTTTAGAAAAAAAATTCAATTTAAAAACGTTTTTATTTTGGACATTTTTTTCCTCTAAAGCTACTTGTTAAACCTAAACGAGTACGTTTAGAGCAAAAATGTAAAGATTAAAAAAGCCTTAAAATTGCATCTATATTCTAAAGACCTTAGCATACGCAGCAAAATAAATAGGCCTATTAATTCTATTGTTTAAAAAATAAATGGCCACCATTTTCGTAAATTTCAGGCACATTTGATGTGGTCTTTTTAGAATCTATATGCAATTTTAAGACTATTTTACTCATTGCATTTTTGGTCTAGCCCTATTCGTTTAGGAGCTACATGATGCAGAATGTACCCCACAAGTCATTTTTTCATAACTGCTACTCCTCAGCTGTACCTCATAAACGAGTAGCTTTAGAGAAAAAAACATAGATTCATTATTCTATGTTTTATAAGAGGGATTTGCTGGTCGTTCTGCTTGCGGTATCAAACCTTATTCTTAGTGGTTTTTTGTGCCACGTGAAAACCTTCCTTGTCTCAGCGCTATTAACGCACAAAAATTTGTCCATATAAAAGATGGAAGTGAAAGAATCTGTAATATGCAGTAATGAGCATACTATTTGAGACACAACTCTAAGGCCTTCTTAACAGATATCGCACTCGGGAGATCTTAGAAATAACATGAGTAATGTGACGTGCCCAGGAGGGTTTTGCATCCAAATGGATGCGTTACAAAATATATTTTCAATATGTTTGCTGAGAGGTGTCGTTTGTGTTTTGAGTTTGAATTCTTTTATCAAAAATTATATATTTTTGTCATACGATAGTATATAATTTACACCATCCTTGTCGTAGATGGAAATTACACGAACTAGCTCCAACTATTGGTTTCCATTGCAGCAGAAGATTTAATAAATTTAAATTAAAGAACTGGGACGTGTTCACACCTGCCACATATACACAAAGACTCGTCGTCCTGTCCATATGTCTGCTCTACATCGGTTATTCATTCAGTTGAATTCTTATTCAGCATTCGTTCACTGTGAAATATCAGAGGAAACTTTTATATGAGTTAAATGATTTAAAAATTCAAAAATATAGTGATTCAGTTTTTTAAGGGGAGAAAAATAGTAGGAGAAATAGTAGAAATAGTAGGTCTTCTGTCTTCGATACTACTAATAACCATACTTATAACTAAATAATAGCCTTAGTTGTTAGATCATATCATATGCCATAAGCTCAGAACATAGCATATGTTGTAGGTCTGATTTAGCAAATTAACGAAAAAAGTTGTCTACAGTCAGACAAATTTGTCTTTGTATTACAGGACTCCAAACATTATAATTATCTGCCAGGCTCCCATCTACGAAAGCTTTGATAAAAAGTATAACGAGTAGACCTATATACACACATACAGCCAATTTAATTTTTACGTTAGTGAAGTTTACAGGAAACGTCATAAAATATTTTATGGCAAATAAAAAAAAAACTCGTGATCAGTTTCATCAGCTGTGGAACTGTTAATTGTCAATATTGTTTTAAACTACCACTATGCCACATTAAAAACATTGATTTTTGTTTGGTTTGCTAATAAAACACAATGTATACCCTTAAACGCCATTCTGGTAGCTGTAGAAAAGAGAAGACGTTGATGACAAATGGAAGTAGCTCATGGTAGAGTGACTTTGTTACTGTTGTGTTTTGTCAGAGTATTATCGTGATTAAACTTACAGCAGTGACTAATAATGTACATATGTCATGTATATAAGCTCAGACTTTCCTGTGTTAAGTTAACTTTATTGTTGGATCATGTGTTTGGTCCATTAATAGAGTTGAAACTAATAACCAAAAAGTTAAAGGGTTTGTATTAAGAAAAATTCAATAGGTAAAATTAGATGACAAATATACGTCTAATAGATCATAAAACATACATTAAACCAAACTGTTTACTCCAATACAGTAAATACATATTAGATGTGGTAACTGGTGATTTAAAGTAAATAGATACTTTAAGGGTTCTATACATGATATAATTTCAATGTTAAATTAGTTACAATGATAAAAAATACAATAATTTATGTATCTAAAATTATATATTTTGTGTTATTGCTGTCTTGCCATTTTAGCTACGTTTACAAGTTTGTAATATTTATAATTATTTCTGTAAATATTTATCTGCAACTTATTTTGGTAGCTAAATAATAAAAATTTCCAAACAGGTGAAAAATGTATAACAAAAGGAATAAACTTGCTTTACAAATAGGTGTCAATGGGTTGATAATTTGTTTGGTATTTTACAGATCTTGTTTTGATGCGTCAAGAATATGACACTCTAATTTATTTGTGCTAGGTAAATACTTTGATTTTCAAAAAAAAAAAAAAAAAATTTTATACATGTTCCTCAATGATATTAAGCTTTCTTGAAGGCAAAAGTGACATACAGTAATGTCAGTTACACAGTTACACAGTTGGTTATATCTGTTAGTAGATATTAACAGTTATGAAAGCGTAATTTCGTGAAGAAACTAATACAAGTGTGTTGTAAATGTCTCATGATAGAACAAATGCTGTATGATGCCGTATAGTTTAATGAAATAATATAAGTAAGAAGTTAATGAAACATAGTGCAATTCATTGTTAGTTAACTACGTATATTTGTGAAAATATATCAATTGACAAAATATTTATAAGACTCAACTCACCATTTACTGCAGTAGTTGGTAATGGAAGTAATCATATAGTAATGAATAACGGTTTGATTTGAACTTGAATATAAGCTGTAAGAAACACAAGTAAAATAAAATACTGACAATACTAGGAACACATATAATTATTTATACCTTGTAAAAGGTACCACATTTTGTATTTCACAGTTTGTGTTCATAAATATTTTAACAGTTATCAGGTCGTGAGGTTTGTGATGAAACTGGCGCTGGGCGTAGGAGGGGATGTGGATGGTTGGGGAGGGCGGTCCCAACCCCGGAGTCGGTGTCTTCCGTTGTACTAGCCATCCAACAAACGTTGGTCCTTTACTGCAGTAGTAGAACTTATGAAGTAATATGTCCAATGCTACTTAGACACCGTCGTTATGGTGCTATCAAGAATTTGTTTGTAGATTCCATTTTGCCCTAAGGGTCTCAATGGAGAGTTGATAGGTCCAATGACTACCTAAGTAAAACATTCTATATATAAGTTATTGGTACCTATAAAAAAGTGCTGTTCTTCATAAGTTCTTAAAAAGATTACAGTACGGTATTCGAAAACAAATTAATAAATACCTAACCGTACAGTTTTTAAAGTTCTATTATTTTTTTGCTACTGTCCCGAAGTGGTATTAAACAGACTGTAAACATTTATTTTAATGAAATCTGATATTTTTTATATAGGGCGTACCTGAACCCTTAAAGAATATTTAGAAAAATCGTGCCTGAGGTAAAACTAAAAATTGTATAACCATATACCACTTCTCAGGAGCAATTTCACAGATTATTTTCAGGTAGGCTAGTTCAAAGAAACTCTGTATAGCTCCTAAAATCGTTAACATTTGTTTTAATAAAAGTATTATTTTTGCAAAATGTGATCATAAAAATATGTTCTAGTAAAAATTCTAGTTAAAATATAAATTCTAGTAAAAATTGAAAATGGTAATGAAATATAGTCGACTAAACCGGTAAGAAAATCATTTATTAAAAAAAAACACCGATAAAGTAAACATGGTAACAAGTTCATCGTTACATAGAACATTACTATACTATACCCTTTAAAATTAAGGTTATAATAATAGTATATAAAAAAATACCGGTAACAAGTTCATTGTTTACATAGAACATTTCTACACCCTTTAAAATTAAGATTATAATAATAGTATATAAAAAAAATACCGGTAACAAGTTCATTGTTTACATAGAACATTTCTACACCCTTTAAAATTAAGGTTATAATAATAGTTTATAAAAAAAAAACGCCGGTAACAAGTTCATTGTTTACATAGAACATTTCTACACCCTTTAAAATTAAGATTATAATAATAATATATTTTAAAAATACCGGTAACAAGTTAATTGTTTACATAGAACATTTCTACCCCCTTGAAAATTAAGGTTATAATAATAATATATTAAAAAAAACACCGGTAACAAGTTCATTGTTTACATGGAACATTTCTACACCCTAAATTGACTAATGGCATTGAGTTAAATAATACAAATGATATCAGTTCAGGTCTATAAAGTGATAAAATGTAGTTTGCAGATAAAATAACACGTTCATTATCACAAAGAATATTTACACACAAATTGACTATTACCATTAGTTATGAGGGTGTTTCAGAACTCCCTATCAAAACTTCATGGGCACGTTCTTTAGGTCAAAACAAACAAAAAATGTCCTATAAACAATGGCCTATCTCGCTCCATTTTCCGTCTGTCAGTCTGTATGCATTTTTTACACAATTAAACATAACTTTTGAACCATAGGCCTATAAGGTATAAACTTCAAACTTGGTACATGTATTAAGAATAATAAGACACAGTTTTTAAAAAGAAATACAAGACACAGAAAATGTGTGACATTTACATAATTATGTACAATATGGGGAAAAGATAATTAAGATCTGATAGTAATGGAATAAGTAGTAGCAATTATACCTTAGACGGTTCAAAAGTTATGTGTAATTATGAAAACAAAATACATACAGACGGACAGACGGAAAACGGAGCGAGATAGGCCATATGTTTACTTGACATTTTTTGTTTGTTTTGACTTAAGGAACATGCCCATGAAGTTTTGGTAGGGAGTTCTCTGAAACACCGTAAAAGATATATCAATATAGGCCTTTAATGTTTATAAACATCATGGACAAACAAGTTTATAAACGACAAGGACTTACAGGCTTTAGTCCAGTTCTTCTATTCCACTCATATTGTCTTCACTGGAAACAGAATCATTGTCTGTGTTGTCACTTTCACTGTCACTACTGGCATCCACACGTATCACAAAACGTTCAGTCTCTTCCTCTACAATATGTTCACGGTTCAGGTAGTCCTCTTCTATTTTCTTCACATGTTCACATCGCTTCTTCCAGTCTTCTGGAGAGATCTCGACGAATTTCTCGGCTGCAAGCTGGAGAACTGTTTGTAAACAAAACTTGACGTTCTTTTGTTTGATGTAATCCTTCACTGTGGCCCAAATCATCTCAATCGGATTTAGATCCGGATGGTAGGGGGGTAGTCTTAAAACTGAATGGCCGTGCTCAGCTAAGACCGCATCTATCTTATATGTTTTTAGTTGGGGTTTTCGGAGTTTAATTAAAGCATACAACTGAGGTTTTAGCATGCTCTCGTGGTAGGGAATACCGCAGTCAGTCAGCCATTTCTGCATGTCGGTTTTTTTCCAAGATGATGTTGGCGCAGGGTTAACTTGCTTATTGTGGTATGGCGCGTTATCGATAACCAGCACGCTGTTAGGCTTCAGGTTTGGTATCAATTGGTCTTTGATCCACTTCTCATAGTTCTCAAAATTCATGTCACCATGGTAATCCCCCTTTTTCAATCCAGATTTAAACATTAATAAACCATTTGCGACAAATCCATCCTCGCCTCCTGCATGTAGAACTATTATTCTGGAACCTTTGCTGACAGATTTCTTTAGGCATCCAACTGAGCTGTCCGTCCAGGTTTTCTCAGTAGTAGTTGTGCTGTGAAAATAAGTTTCGTCCATATACACGATCGGTCTATTTTCCGCCCTATACCTGTTTACAGCCACCAAGTAGTTCAATCTTAGATTTCTGATATCGTTTTTTTCAATTAATACTTTTCTATTGGATTCAGTTTTTTTCCACCGGAAACCTAATTTTTTCACAACCTTGCGAACACACCATACACTTCCTTTGAAACCTATCTTATTCTTCAAAACGCGTAGCATTCCCTTGAGAGTAGGTCTTTCACCTTCGCTTACGTGGAACTCTTGAATGGTTTTACGTATAACTGATAAGTCAAAATCATCAAAGGTGGTTTTGGAACTTTTCTTAGGCCTCTGCTTCCTTGGCGTAGTAAATTTTGGTGACGATAGACCAGGTGTTTTCTTTTGTTCAATGACAATTCTTCTAACACTACTAAATGATATACCGCAAGCAGCAGCGACTTAAGTTTGTAGCGCCTTTTCATTTAAACGATTTTCTTCTCTTTTATCATTATCTTTTCTCATTGTATTGTAAACATTGTAAATTATTCTCCTACTTTGGCTGTGGATGACTTTTCTTTTGACTGACTTACTTGTAGTGTGAGGTGGTGAAGACGGTCCGGACATTGCTGGAGGTAGCGCGCTACACTGGTAATACACAACGGCACTACTAGGCTACAATGTTTTTAGAAAAGCAGAAACATCGTCACCGCACAGGGAGACAGACCCCAACTGACAGGGTTGTTGCCCTTGGCCATTGTTCTGCGCATGCGCAAACTTTCTCTTTGGCACCACCCACCCCCAGACCAGTTTCATCACAAACCTCACGACCTGTACAAATATCCACTAATAAGACCCTAAAATTATCACGCATTAGTATTGAATAAGATCCTTAGTTTGTTCGAATACTCACAAAAACCCACCAATATCTATTATACACCATGTTTCTTTATAATAAACTTGGTTACTATTTATATAAGAGTTTTAAAATAGAAGGATTATTTTTATTTAACACATGTTAATATTCACCAAGCTATCATTTAGGCCTATTTCCTGTATTTTTCTAAGTTGGATCGACTTAATAGCTTCAAATGAAACGGCAAAGTTAAAATGAAACCTAAAGAAAGACGTTTTTTAAGGGTTTCAGTTTGGACAAAAGAAGAATGTTTATCTCATTGGCAATACAAAGGACTAGATGGAACTGAAAGTTAAGCTAACTTGAAGTTCGTTTGTCTTTTGTTCTGATTAATTTTAATTAGTTTAACTATGTGGATTGGGCGTCTACATAACTTTCTTTTATTGAAATATAGATTAAATAGTTTCTTATTCGTCCATTCATCACACTGGTTAACTTAATTTAATTGCATTTATTAATTGACGAGGTGTTAGCCCGTCCTACGTACGGGAATTCAGTAGTCATTTAAAACCGTGTACAATTCAGATCAGCTAGTTTACACATATACAGACAAAGTTTGTTGCAGTTTTAATGTGAAAAATCATCTTGTAAACAAATGTTGTGTGACGAAATATGTTTTTATTCCATCATAGGCCTATACGATATGCATTTTAAATCCGAAAATTTTACAATAAAACAGCAATTCTGCAATTTTTACGATGTGAAAAGCGTTGAAGTGAGATTTGCAGCCGATTTGCACAGACGCACACTGATTATAAAGCCTACGGTAGAGAGAGTAATATTCAATTGAGAAGTGTATGTAGACCTAGTCATCGATACCACCTTCCATAGCATACCTGCCTCTTCCATAATAATTATCACCACAATACAACTACTATACATAATTCCCAGTAGGTCTGAATAGAAACGACCTAAAATAAAACGATAGTATCCTATAAAATTCACAGTACACATAATTTAACTTTGGTGTCCTAACATCAAAACTAATAGTCACACCTATCCTTTATATCAATTTCACTGCATTAATTCCTAAATAAATAAGCATAAACTAAGAAAAGTAAAAACAATAACAGTTTGTTTTGAAACAGCTGTTTGGTTCAAATAACATTCATTTGAAAAAAAAGAACTGGTCACATGTAGCAGGAATATAAAAAGTAAACACACTACTAAAGCTAATGACGTAATTGTTCTATCCTTGATAATTACCCACCCTCATTGAATAAATGCACATCGTAATTTCCCATATTAGTAAATTTAAACTACAATATATTCATAGTTGAAAGAAAAGTGAAATTTTCACGTTTGGGGGACGTTTGAGGTTGTGGTGGTAATTTTTAAAATCGTGATTTCTGATTATTCTTGATCTTCTTTTTATGACATCAATATTTCCGGGCCTAATCCAAACAAAGTTAAAACAGACAAACATTAATTGTAAACAAAAATCTACAATGAAGAATTAAAACATGTAAACATTGTTATTTTTCTAATCTTTCCTTGAAAAGTGGAGCAGTAAAATAATTTGCATTTATCCTTTTTTATTAAGACTCGTGTACAGAGCCTCGATTTGTACTTTGGTTTAATTAATTAAAACTGTGGTTTAAACTGTGGTCTAATTATCTCTACTAATCTTACTTATTTCCTATAATCAATGACAAAAATAAAATAACCTCATAGTTCCATAGTTTATATTTAACCAGCTGTTAGTTAAAACAAATTATATTGCTCTAAAACAAATATCAAAGATTACAAAGATTGCTTTAAAAAATAATTTGAACATCCTAGTATTTTACTATGCATATTTAATTAATCTGCCATCTTCTTACAGAAGAATTGAACGTATCAATGATTAGCATTACACATAGTATAAATAAGTCAACCCTAAGTATGTCTTTACATTTTAATCCAAATGCTGAATTTGTGATACAAAAGCTGAATGTTTACAGCTGTTATGTTAAGCAAATTATTTTATGCCAAAAGCTAGTTTAGAATCTTAGCGTCGGCTGCTAGACTTTTTAAAAATTAAAACATAATTTCTAAAAAACTGGGACCCTAAACTAAAATTATGGCTTCGACATTCCCTAGTTCTCAAAATTATCTTTCTTTCAACACAAAAATCATGAAAATCCGTCGAGTGGTTGATTCAGAATCGTGAAATAAAAAAACACTGTTTCGTTTTAATATTATAGATTGCACATAATATCATTTCAACTTAATATTATTTTATATTAGAAAATAAAGACATTACACTTTGACCAAAACATGACCTACAAAATGTATTATGAATAAAATAGTTTAACAACAAACTATACAACCTTAGTATTGAGATCGATTCAATAAAAAGTTTTATATAAAGGTAAAATTGAGGTCCTTAATATTACAACTTGACAATTTTAGGTTTTTGGTTGTATACTTTTTTTAAATACTTTAAGAAACACACTTAAAAATATATATCCATAACTCTGATAAGCCTTTTTTATGCTTCCAAAACATTTGGTGGTTTTAGTCGAGGTATTTAAAACGTTTTATACTTCTAGGTATTCCGTTACAAAAATTGTTTTAGGCAAGACTTGAAATGTGTTTCCAGATTTTTAACCACATCCTCTTTTATGATTACACGTGAAAATCGGCACTCGTTCTCAGTGCAAATATTTTCTTATTATTTTTTAAGTTTGCTTATGGTTATTTTATAAACAAGGGTAAAAACGCTATAAATTACATATTTTATACACATTTAAGAGTTGATTTTTTAATGACGGTACCTAATTCAATTCTTGGCAGAAAAAAATATTACCTTTCAAAACAATACACAATAATTTACATTGGGTCGTATTTTTCATACTTTTTTTCATCATAAACCCAATTAAGGGTTCAGACTACGTAGTTAGCTTGCATGTTGGTTCAGCATGTTATTAAATATGTTATCAAAAACTTCAATAGTGCAAATACTGTTATAGTCAAATGCTATAAATATGAAATAATGTTTAAATTATTTTGAAAACCGTACAATAGAGATTGGAGGGAGAATGAGGAAAACTTTTAAAAACAGAAATAACTTGAATAGAGCCACTTTTCCTTGAAACAAGTCCATTTACCAGATTGCCTCAATGTGACGTTTCCCAAAGTTTAAAAGTTTTATTCACAATGTTAAGATTTGTCATTACCTATTAAACCTGCAAATTAAATATTAAATCCCTATTTAAAAAGAATTGTAATGGTCCTTTAATTACAATTAATTATAGTCTCTTAGGTCATTAATTATGTATTTTAATTGTATTAATTTCCTACCTTGATAAAAACTCATTTGTTTTATATAATTCAAGATACGTCTTAAACTTTGTGATTAATTCAAGAATATAATTTTTTTAGGTAAATTCTATTCAATGTTATTAAATTGTAAAAATCTCTATTGCTTATAAGTTTAGCCAATTAAAAACGTATGTTTGTATTAAGATAGTTTATTATAAAAAAGGTACCAAATGAGCAGCTTGAAACATTCAAAAGCTAAATAAACCGAAGATAATCGTAAAATAGATAAGTGGTAATACATTCTAGAGAAAGTTAATACTCCTATACTACTATACCATTAACGATTACCTGCAAGGTCACAATATTGTAATATTCCCTTAAATTCTTGTTACAAAAATGAATCTATGACAAATAAAACTAATTCTCAAAACATAAAGTTTGTATAAAATCCTAAAAGTAAAAATTAACTAACTGTTGATATATATTTTCTGTCAATATAATAATCGGTTTTCGGAAAGGAGAAAACTATGATTTTTTGTACTGAAGGCCTTCATTTACTAGAGCAGTTGGGTTGTTATCTTTTTATTTCATATCCTTACAGTTAAAACACATAAATTAAATTCGCAAAATATTACTGTAATAAAATACACAACTCATTATTAATAAATACTGTAACATAAAT